TACTTTCTGCAATCAAGTTTGGTTTACATTGGTTTACATTGAGTTTGTATCTGTTGAGTGCTCTTATATTGTTACAGTTGAACGTGAAAAAGTCATTGATTGGTAGTACATTAAAGCAAATTATTTTATAAACTATCCTTAAGTCAAACCGTAGGCGGCGTAGTTCTAGGTTGTCCAAGTTCAAAATCTCAAGACTGGTGGTTTCTTTTTCTTTTCTTTTTCCTTTTATTTGTAACAGCTCAGGCAGAGCTGGCCCAAAGCACTTTGCAGCTTGAAAGTCCAGATAAAAGTGGAAAGCACACCATATGGAGGTGCTAAGTCTGGACTGGGAGAAGAACTTTCCTTCAGGTTTGGTGGCAAGGCAGCATCTTTCATGATGTGTGAGGGAAGGGCGCTTGCTTAGCCTATTCAGTATGGAGGGAATAGCTTTCCTTCCTGTAGGCAAGTTCCAACATCTTCTCCTTGGAATCCCCTACCTAACCAAATAGCAATCCCTAAAAAGGAGCAAAGTCTATTGTCAGGCAGGGATTTATAATGCTTGGTCTTCTAGAGTTTGCATATTTATTCTGGGCTACCCATCAAGGAATTTGTTTGGTTCTGTCTTAATGAGAGAGTACAATCGCTGCAAGTTTATGTGCCAGAGTGGGGAAACGGTAGCTCTCCAGAGGTTGTGAGTTAAATGTTGCCCACAGCTGCAGCACACCTACCTTGTACTTGGAAACATGGAGCACTCATGTCAAAATGCTAACTTAAAACTGTCCGTTACTGACTGAGAAATGCCACTGTGGGTGCAAATGTATTTGGAAAGAAGATGGATTGGGGAAATTATATCTGGTGTCCCTAGAAATTCCTCTATCTGGATATTTCATAAATAGATTCTGTTATGCAGCCAATGACTTTTACTCACACTGTATTTCGGATGATTTTATCCATTGTCATTACTTTTGAAGCCAAATTGTAAGGATTTACAGTACTTACACAGAGAGAACGAGTGAGAGAAGGATTGTTAGAAACGAAGCAGATACTGTTGGGACCTTATTAGAAAAGATATTGCCTTTTATTGGGAAAATTCTCAAGATAACACATGGTGGGGCTTTGATCACATAGTTGTAGCTGCCATTTTGACTTTTTTAAGCACCCCACTTCCCCAAAGCCTTCTCCTTGCATATTCCTGGACATTGAATCATGACTTCTGGTGGAGGCAGAATTACAGAATAACATAAGACCTTGGAGGCCAAATCCTTCTCAGGCAGGAAACCCTATACCAGCGGTGGCTAACCTTTTTGGGCTCCTGTGCCAACAATTGTGTGCGCGCTCGCGTGCCAGCACCCAAAAGACAATGTGCATGCCCCTCCACCCCTGCGCATGCGTGCGCAATCCCCCCATCGCCCCCTGACCTGCACTGCGCATGCGTGTGCCTCCCAGCTGATTTTCAGCCTGTTTGAGGCCTTTTTCGGGCTCCCAGAGGCTCGAGGCCGAAAAACGGGCCTGTTTCATCATTTCCAGTATTTCCGGAAATACAGCTGGGAGGCGCAGTGCGCATGCGCACTGAGGTAAGTTTGCCTGGGGCTCCGGTGCCCGTACAAACGGCTCTGTGTGCCACCTGTGGCACGCTGCCATAGGTTCGCCATCACCATTTCAGACAGATTGTTCTCCATTCCTTTCTTAGAAGCCTCCAATGATGGATCACCCATTAATCAGCCATTCCACAGATTCATTTTTCTCACTGTCAGGAAATTTCTCCTTGGTTCTCTAGGTTGCTTCTCTCCTTGGTTAGTTTCCACCCATTGCTTCTTGTCCTGCCCTTAGGTGCTTTGAAAAATAGGTTGACACCCCCTTTTTTTGTGGCAGCCCCTCAAATATTGAAACACTGCTAGCATGTCTCCCCTCATCCTTCATTTCACTAGACTAGACGGGCCCAATTCCTGCAACCTTTCTTCATAGGTTTTAGCCTCCAGTCCCCTAATCCTCTTTGTTGCTCTTCTCTGCACTCTTTCCAGAGACTCAAAATCTTTTTTATAATATGGAGACCAAAACTGAATGCAACATTCTAAGTGTGATCTTATTAAAGTTTTATACAGCAGTACTAATACTCCACATGATTCTAATTCTATCTCTCTGTTAAGGCAACCTAGGATTACATTGGGTTTTTTGGCTGCTACCGCACACTGGTGGCTCATATTTAAGTGACTGTCCACTAGAACTCCAAGATCCCTCTCATAGTTGAGCCAGGTTTCATCTTATCTATTCCTGTACATTTAGTTTTTCTTGCCTAAACCTTACTTTTTGAGTTTCTCTGAATCAGATTCAACTTTGCAGATATGGGTGGCTTCTCTGAATGACTTCTGTTACACACAGCTTACTTTTACAATTTGGTTTCATGCACACCCTGACTCAGAGTAGCGACCTCTTATGCCTCCTACGTATAAGGTGGGGAGAAGCTGATACTACACACTTGAGTCTGTGCCTATCCCTGGATTGACAAAACACAACTATCTCTGTGATCAAAAAGCTAACATTTGTATTGTCTTTGTCTTCAACCCTTTGACCCTTTCTGGAAACTCAGATTAAGGAAAGGTGATGTGAGCACAAATTCATGCCTTCCATTTCCAGTGTTAATAATAACTGAAACCTGGGAAAGTAAACCTTTAAAATAAAGCTGTTCTTATCAGTTGGCCTGAATGTTTTCTGCATTGAAAATAGTAATTATGATTTGATTTTTG